CCACCACGATCAAGTGGGATTCATCCCTGGCATGCAGGGATGGTTCAATGTACGCAAATCAGTAAATGTGATACAGCACATAAATAAAAGAAAAGACAAAAACCACATGATCATTTCGTTAGATGCAGAAAAAGCATTCGATAAGGTACAACACCCATTTATGATCAAAACACTCAGCAAAATGGGAATAAATAGGGCATTACACAACATAATAAAGGCCATATATGAAAAACCTACTGCCAATATCATACTCAATGGGCAAAAACTGAAAGCTTTCCCACTAAGATCGGGAACACGACAAGGACATCTGCTCTCACTGCTTCTTTTCAACATCCTATTGGAAGTCCTAGCCACAGAGGTCAGACAAGAGAAAGAGATAAAAGGCATCCAAATAGGAAAGGAGGAAGTAAAGCTATCATTGTTTGCAGATGATGTGATAGTGTACATAGAAAACCCTGTAGACTCTACCAAAAAACTCTTCAACCTAATAAGTGAATTTGGCAAAACAGCAGGATACAAAGTCAACATTCAGCAAACAAAGGCATTTTTGTACACCAGCATGAAATAGAAGAAGAAAAAATCAGAAATAAAATACCATTCGCTATAGCACGAAGAAAAATAAAGTACCTAGGCATAAATTTAACCGAAGACCTAAAAGACCTGGACTCAGAAAACTATACAACATTGAAAAAAGAAATTAATAAAGACACAAATCAATGGAAGCATATACCGTGCTCATGGATTGGAAGAATTCATATCATCAAAATGTCCATACTACCCAAGTCAATTTATAGATTCAACGCATTCCCTATTAAGATACCAATGACATATTTCACAGAAACAGAACAGACATTTCAAAAATTTATATGTAACCATAAATGACTCCAAATAGCCTCAGCAATTTTGAGAAAGAAAACCGAAGTAGGAGGGATCACAATACCAGACATCAAACTCTACTACAAAGCCACTATACTCAAAACAATGTGGCACTGGCACAAGAACAGACCCATAGACCAGTGGAACAAATAGAAAGCCCAGAAATAAGCCCAGGTCTATGAGGGTAACTAATATTTGACAAAGGCAGCAGAAGTAAAAAATGGAGCAATAATACCTCTTCAACAAATGGTGTTGGGAGAGCTGGACGGCTACATGCAAAAAATTGAAATTGGATCATCAGTTGACACCACACACAAAAATAAACTCAATATGGATAAAAGACTTAAATATAAGTCGCAACACCATCAAAGTCCTAGAGGAGAACATTGGCAGAAAACTCTCAGATATCCCACGCAGCCATTTTTTCACCGATATGTCTCCTAAAGCAAGGGACATAAAGGAAAGAATAAATAAGTAGGACCTCATCAAAATAAGAAGCTTCTGCGTGGCAAAAGAAAACATCAGCAAAATGGAGAGGGAGCCAACCGTATGGGAAAATATATTCGCTAACAATACATCAGATACAGGTTTGATCTCCAAGATATATAAAGAACTCACTTGACTCCACTCCAAGAAGACAAACGATCCAATCAAAAAATGGGCAAAGGACCTGGGCAGACGCTTTTCCAAGGAGGAGATACAGAGGGCCCAGAGGTATTTGAAAGGATGCTCAGCATCACTAGTCATCAGAGAAATGCAGATCAAAACCACCATGAGGTACCAACTCACACCGGTCAGAATGGCCATCATAAAGAGATCAACAAGGGAAAGAGGTGGGGGGAAGACAGAGACAAATGTATTTAAAAAGTAAATAAATTAATTTTTAAAAAATTAAAAAAAAAAGAGATCAACAAACAACAGGTGCTGGCAAGGCTGTGGAGAAAAGGGAACCGCAGTCCACTGTTGGTGGGAATGCAGACTGGTGCAGCCACTGTGGAAAGCAGTGTGGAATTTCCTCAAAAAGCTGAAAATGGAACTGCCTTTTGATCCAGTGATTCCCCTGCTGGGACTATACCCTAAGAACACCAAACGCCAATACAAAAGAACCTATGCACCCCAATGTTCATAGCAGCACAATTTACAATAGCCAAGTGTTGGAAGCAACCTAAATGCCCATCCGTAGATGATTGGATCAAAAAGTGATGGTACATATACATAATGGAATACTACGCAGCAGAAAGAAAGAAAGAACTACTAAAATTCGCGACAGCATGGATGGAACTGGAGAGCATTATGCTAAGGGAAAAAAGCCAGGGGGCAAAAGACAAATACCATATGATCTCACCTATAAGTGGAACCTAACCAACAATACAAAGATGAAAGGAAAATAAGACCAGCAACACTGAAAGGAAAAGAATTCAACAGAGACAAGAGGGAAGGAGGGAGGGGGGCAGGGAAAAGGAAGGGAAGGGGAAAGTCAAGGAACATACAGCAAGGACTCATGGACAAAACCAAAGGGGAAGAGCTGAGGGAGGGAAGGAGGGAGGGGGCAAGGGAAAGCGGTGGGGGGTAGGCAGAGACAAATGTATTTGAAAAAATAAATTAAAATAAAATTAAAAAAATAAATAAAAATAAAAATTGGTTATTCCTAAAAGAAAATGAGTCACTTATGTAATTTAACAATTTTCTTTTTTATCATTTAAAATTTTTTCTAATAGGCACATTAAAATAGTAAAAGTAGAGATGATATTAATTTTAATAATGTATTTTGTTTAGCTGAATATATCCAAAATGTTATTATCTTTACTTGTAGCCAATATAAAATTACTAATGAGGTATTTTATGGAATTTTTTTGGTGCTAAGACTTTAAAATATGGTGTGTATTTTACACTTAAAGTACATCTCCACTTAAACACAGCACATTTCAAATACTCAAGAGTCATATGTGGCTAGTGCCTACCATATTAGACAATGCAGGTTTAGATTAGTGCTTCTCAAACTATGCATAGTTCAGAGAGTGTTAATACACAGATTTCTGGGCTTCACCATCAAAGGTAAGGGGTGGTGCCTGAGAATTTACATTTCCAACAAGTTCCCATGTGGTGCTGATGCAGCCAGGGCACAGACCACACTTTGAAGAGCATTGCATGACACACCACACACATCTCCCAGTGAAGTATAGAAGTTTTAATGATGATGATGGTTTTAATATTTTCCCTTTTAAAAGCAGTTTGTCTTAGCCACTAGTGAAATTCAAATTAAAACCAAAATGAGATATCACCACACACGCATCAGAGTAACCAAAATGAAAAATAGTGATAACATTGAATGCTGTTGCAAATGTGGAGAAACTGGATTACTCATACATTGCAGCTGGGTGCATAAAATAGTTTGGCAATTCTTTTAAAACTAAAAATGATTCTTATAAGCTCTGAGATCTGGGGAGAGCTATAAAACCATGAAAAGACATGGAGGTAACTTAAATGCATATTACTAAGTGGAAGAAACCAGCTTGAAAGGGCTACATCTTATATGATTCCAACTACATGACATTCTGGAAAAGGTAAAACCTATGGAGACATTGAAAGATCAGTGGTTGCCAGTGGTTGGGGGAAGGAGGGAGACATAATCAGAGCACAAAGGGTTTTTAGGGCAGTGAAACTCTACTGTATGACACTATAATGTCAAATACACATCATTATATATTTGTCAAAACTGAGGGAATATACACCACCACCAAGAATGAACCCAATGTAAACTATGGACTTTGGGTGATAATGATACATCAATGTACATTATCAATTGTAACATATGTACGATTCTGGTGCGGATATTGACAATGAAGGAGGCTGTGAGTGAATGGAGGCAGGGTACATATGGGAACTCCCTGTACTTTCTGCTTAATTTTTCTAAGAACCTTAAACTTCTCTATAAGATAGAATCTACTTAAAAGGGAGAGGGAAAGTTCTGAGATGAATAGCAGTGATCATTAGCAACAAAGTGAATATACTCAATACCACTAAATTGTACACTTAAAAATGGTTAAAATATTAAATGTTGTGCCAGGTATATTTTATCACAATATATTTTTAAAAGAAAAAAATGGTTTTACCATATGATTTCATTCTTGGATATTTATCCCAGAGAAACAAAAATTTATTTCAGGCAGGAACTTGTATGCAAATATTCATGGCAGCTTATTTGCAATAGCCCCAAATTGGAAACAATTAAAGTATTTCTCAATAGGTGAGTGGCTAAACAAAGTAGTGTGTCTATACCATGACATGCTATCCTGCAATAAAAAAAAAATATAAACTACTTATACTTGAAATATTTAGGATGACTCTTTCAGAAATTACACTGAATGAAAAAAGCTATTGTCAAAAACATGCAAACTATGTGATTCTATCTATGTAAACACCTGGAAAATAACATAATTATAGATGTGCACAATGGATTAATGTGTTCTAGGAGTTTGGGAGGCAAAAGGGGGCAGTAATGGATGACTATAAAGGGATGAGGATCTCCTGGCCATGGCACAATTAAGCATCTTGATTGTGGTAGTAGTTACATGAAGCTACATACGTGAATAAATTGCACAGAGTGAGAGACACATATACTCACACATAAATGAGTGCCTGTAAAACTGGTGAAATATAAGTAAGCTCTATTTGTTTTATTGATGCCAATTTCATGGTTTTGAAATTGTACTATAGTTATGTAAGATGTTGGGAGAGATTTGAGTGCAGTGGGTACAGAACCTCCCTATACATGTCTTTACACCTTTCTATGCTCATGTAATTATTTCAAAATAAAAAGTTTTTTTAAAAAAACCCTTGCACACATTGTCTCATTTGATTCTCACAATAACTATAGGAAGTGAGTAGTATGATAATTGACATTTTATAGAAAAGAAAAATAAGGCCATGGGACAAACTGCTGATGGAAGATTACATAGTTAAAAGCAAGCAAAGCCACACCTTCTTGAAAAGTATTAATATAGGTAAGTATTTATAAGTACAAATAATTTAGGGAACCCAATAGTCAGAAATACAGGCATTCTTTAATAACAAATTTGCCAAGTAAAAATAAAAAGCAAGCCCTCTATCTTCCCACAACTTACGATAGACTTGAAGGCTGTAGCTCCTGGTGATGGTGCTCATCATTTTAGAGGTCTTTACATTTATGTCAGCCCTGTAGATCCCTGTATCTTCCATCTTCAGATTGCTGATCTCCAGGTTGTAGTTCTGATGTGAGACATTTATTCGTTCATAATAATTTTCGTGGGTCACCGTAACTTGGAGTGCTGCTCTTGAGTCTGGTACTACTACAAGAGCAACAGAAGTTTTGGAGTTCATCCAAGCAATACTGATAACTTGCTGTAATTCTTGGATACATAAAGGGAAAGTAACTGGTTCCCCCAGAATCCCATTCACTGTGATAATGTCTGTGTTGCTTTCAGCTGCTTCCAGACCTGAGGGTATAAATAGAAAATTGTAGCCATTTAGCTGTTGTACCTTTTAGAGTTCCCTGTCTCCCTAGGCCTGAGTCTCTTTTAGGAGCTCTCATGCATGCAGATCATTCAGTTTCTTGAGGATGCCTTTTTTCTTTTATTGGCATTCTACTCTAGATATATTTAATATGTTATGATGGCTAAGTTTTCTAAAGGATTCTCAATCAAAAACTAAATCTCCTAGTGACTTTTCAGGGACCCATTTCATTAAAAACATGTTTAATCTAGACTTAGAAACTCTGAGATCTAGAAGGTGTCTGAGGGATAAGGACCATAAGCTTCCGCAAGGTCTGAGATATTAAATGTCTGTCTTTCCCAAAATAATATTGCCAAGTGGTGGAAGAGCTGGGGCAAAAGAGTGGGATGGCTACTATGGTCTTTGTAAAAAGTAAGTTACATTTATGCCTATATTCCTGGAAGATATAGTGCTTTAGAAACTCTGGAGTAAATACTCCCCAAATTGATGATTTTGGGGGGTCTTTTTTTCACTACTATATCTCTAGTCTCTGGAAGAGTACCTGACACATAATGGGTGGTTAATAAAATATTTCTGGGGTAAATTAACAAATAGATTTCACTTATATGTTGCCTAGAATCTCTTGGAACAAGTTCTGAAGTAAGTAAAGTTCATTTATTCATTCATACATTTATGAATAAATGCATATATTTATTCAAGTTCAGCTCTGTTCCAGATATTATGGTAGGTATTTATTAATATAATCTATAATACGAATGTTTGTTGAGCAAACTACCCTTTTAAGAATTAGGAAAAAAAAAAACAAAAACAAGGCCTGGAGACAAACTGCTAATGGAAAATTACATAGCTCATGTAATCTTCTAAGCATTATAGAAAAGATTGTAGATACATGGTAAATAAAAACAGATATAGTTTATGCTCTACAGAACGTAAGAGTTAATGAAAGAGAACAATGTGGATCAGATAACCACAAATGATTAGGTACAAAATATGTAAGTATTATGGTGACTGAGAGAGAATAGTGAGAGGAGTTGATTTATTCTGGCAATCCAGGAACACTTTCTAGTAGAAGATGAAAGAGGAGTGTATTTAAAAATCTAAAATGAGAAAAAGAAATGAAAGGTTTATTTTCTTTCCTTTCATCATCTAATGAAGATAAATTGATATAATATATAATTTATAAAATGAAAGGCAACATAATTATAAGGTTATCTTCTAATCTTCTTTCATTATTTTGTTATTCTCACTGAGCTCTATTTAGTGAGAAATAGTGTTTTGAGCCACCAGATGATATTCAAAATATTTAATAACCAACAGACACAAGCACTGATCCATCAGTAAGTGTATTAGCCATAAACAATAACCGGGTTATTCTGATGAGTACCAGGTGCATGTAAACCCCAAAGAGCAGGACATGAGTTTTTCATGTAAGTGTGTTCAGACTGATTCTAAAATTTATCCAGGGGTTGGCATAAAGAAGGCAAGAATAGGGTCAGTCATTGAGAATACAGGTCATTTTGAAGTGTCAGAAAAGCAAAGGGACTTTTTTAATCTGATGGTGCTAACTAAGGCCACTTTTGCCCTCTAGCCCACTTCTTGAATGGGCCCAGGAATTGCAAATATAAACCTCTTTCTTTTCAGATCAACCAAGATTTTCCCTTAGAAGGGCTATCCCAGGGAAGGCCTGATGACTTAGTTGGGGTCAGATATGTAACAGGGCCCTGGGGGGAGAAAGAGACTAAGGACCCTTATGTACAAACATTAATTTAGTGCTAACAATGTGCCAGGTGCTGTATTAGGGACTCAAGGTTTAATTGGACATAGCTGCAGTCCTGGGAAAGACAAACATGTACACAAGTGAAAAATAATGCAATGAGATGTGTTGTAAGAGCACAAGGAACCCACAACTGGGGGACAGAGGAGAAACTAAGGTGGTTTTCAGTGGCAGGAGTCATAGTTTACCAAAATCTGTTCTTTTGAACATTAATTCTCTCCAGGTACACTGTTCCACTGGGCTGATAAGGTCTGGTAGAGGGGCATGTTGAGTGTCCCAGACTGAAGCCCTGAATGTCCCAGATATGGGTATGTGAATTCTGCGGTTGCACAGAGCCTTGAGCTTTGGAAGACCCCGAACTTGACTTGATGATACTGTACCACCTTGAAGTTTTTCATAATATTGGAACAAGAAGCCTCACATTTCCATGTTGTACTGGGTTCTGCAAATTATACAGCTGATCCTGGTGCCAGATCCTCCATTTATGTCATAAGGCCTTTTTTTTTTTTTTAAGTCAGGCCCCTAGTACCTAATTGCCATCCTGCTCTTTGTATTAATGTCAGGTGTGAGAAGATGGATACAGTGTGTATGCCTTAGACTCATAACTTTAATGGGTTCTATCATCAAACCCCAGGAAGTGTGTAGGCAGTTTGCTAAGGTGGAAACCTTCTTAGTATTAGTGCCATTGTGAAGCCACAAAATAGTTGATGATGTGTGGTGGTATTTTTAAAATTATGTCTTATCTTCCATAGCAAGTCATTCAGGAAGTGATGCTGGGTGTCAAAGAATAATGAGGCAGAGAAGGTAGCGGACAGAAGAAGCTGAGGGAAACCTGCTGCTATTTGTGTTGCTGGTGTTGATGAGAATTCTTAGCTTGCTGAGAAATGGCACAGGGTTCATACAGACATAAGATAAAGGTCCTTCCACCTTCAGATATTCCATCTGTTATGTGAGAGAGGCAGCTGCAATATCATAGCATGAAGTGGAAAGATAGGGAGGCTGAAGACGTGGATGCTGGTACTTCTCCTTATGAGCTAGGCAACCTTAATAAAATCACAAAACCTTTCCCAGTGCCAATTTCTTCATTTATAGAATGAAACTAATAGCTATACAACTTGCCTTGCCTAATTAATGGTCAGAAAATCATATAATATGAGTGAAAATGTTTCATTAACCATCAAGGCAAAATTCATGTGAGTTATTTTTGAGCTTGATAATGATGATAATGAGAATGAGAGTTATCCTCATCATCATCTTTATTGTCATCTTCACAATTGTTACATGCCCTTGAAGTCTTCCTTAGTCTATTCCTATGATGGCCTTGGTGACACCAGGGCCATACTGAAGAATTTTTAAAGAGCCATTATTAAGGCTAATTCAAGTATATCCTTGGGGGATAGTTTTAGGTACCACTTTACTTGGTGGACTTTACTTTTCTCTTTAAAAATGTCAGTATTTTTTTAAAAAGAATCTCCACGTCAACCAGTCCCAATATTTATTTTTCTAGGTGCTGAAAGTAATTAAACATAATATTAGTGTTGGAAGGGATCTTGGGAAAACTCAATTTCAGGGAGAACTTGTAGCACAAAAATGTCTTGAGGACTTACTATGAAATGCACTAGCAAGTCTATGACCAAGACAGTTTCCCTGCCTTGTTCAGGAATTTCACATCTGGTTAGGAAAATAACATACACACATTCATATAACTCTACTTTGCAATATGAGGTAGTAAATGATAAATTCGAGTGAATAGTAGAGACAGTAATCACAGTAGGAATTCAAAGGAGGAAGACATCACTTTGAACTATAGAAGTTAGAGAGAACTTATTGAATAAAGTAGAATTGAGGGGGATCTTGAAGAGCAGGTACAATTTTACTGAATAGAAATGGGGGAAACAGGTGTTTTGAGTCCTTGTATTCAGAATAAAAGTTTAGAAGCAGGAGAATGGGTTATGTAGTTTAAATGAATATAGATTGGAATAACAGTAGAGATAAGGCTGTAGATATAAAGAGATATGGTTTAGATTTAAGAAAGCCTTGAGTTTGATGTCTATACCACAAACACAGGGCAGCTATTACAGTTTTTGAGGATGAAGATAAAAATGATGTTTTAGAGTCATAGTAATATAGTAATGATGTAGAGAAAAAAATAGGAAGAAAGAGAAGCTGGGCTTGACAGAACATTTCAGAGACTATTGGAGCCATCAGAGTATTAATCAGAGGATAATGGGAATGGAAAGGAAGGGCTAAATTTGCAAGATAGCACAAAGAAAGGCAAGGAATAATGACATCTAATAGAATTCAATTTTTCAACAATGTCTTTTGAGTGTCTATTTTATGTTAGTAGAAAACCAATTTGGTTTATTTTGGGAGGAAGCCAAAAGTAAAAGACAAGTTTATTGTTAGAAATGTTGAATTCAGGTGGACCATCTAAGTAAGAAGTTGAAAGAATGAAAAATAAAGAGAGAATGGTCTTAAAGTATTGTTTGTAATGCAGCTGTGGTAGACCCTTCTAGCTGTTGTCCAATATTTGTTCTCTCAGAGCTTCGTTTGTAATAACAGAATCCCTAATTTGTAGAAGAGCATAGAGTCACTCAATAACTATAATGCCCAGCTTTCCGCTAGCTAAGTTTGGTCATATGACTAATTTCAGGTCAATACAATGAAAGTGGTGGTGTTGTAAATGACTTCTATGACTTGATGAGGAAATTTGCTTTCTTCATCTCTGTCTTGCTTCTTGAAAACTGAATGCCAGGAAAGCTGGGCCTCAGACAGACATTTTGGATCAAGAGGAGGAAGGCAAGTACTGAGAATGGTGGAACAGGAATATTAAATAAGTGTGGATTTCTGATGAATTTGTGTATTCTTTTACCAATGGAGCTGCCAAATCTGGGGTTATTTTTTACATGAATGAGGAATAAACTTCTTTCTTCTTTGTGCTATTTTTAGTTTTGAGTGTCTGTCACTTGCTATCAAACTGAAATCCAAATGGTTTAGGAATTTTCCACCGAGAGGAGGTGATTGAAGGAGAGGAGGGCCATTCAGGAAGAATATGGCTGAAGTTCAAGGCTGAGCCTTGTGAACAGTGTTCACAGTTATAGAAGAGGATATATATGTTATATATATAATTAATATATTATATATTATATATTTTATATATATAATATATAATTAGTCCAAGTGGCAAGAGAAGCACCAATAGTGGAGAGT